ACCTGTAAAGGGCCCGAAACGTCGGTTTGTTTGAAAAAACAAATATACGCGATTTAAATCCGGAAAAATAGTTTCGTTTCCTATGTGTAACAATCGCGACAACCTAAGAACTCACAAATAATATTACCTCATATGTAACCTACTGGCTGCTGTAATTTATCTCACGAATTGGACAATTTCAGCCCGATGAGCTTGCGAAGTCGGTGAAGCTGACGTCGCGGGAACGGCGGTTCATCAAGTTCGCGAGCGTCGAGTATGGCGGCCAGCTGTATATGACGCCGCAGGACTTCCTCGAGTCTGTCGTCGAGCAGGAGCCCCGACGTAAGTTCATTTAATCTAGATTTTGGGTCGTATTCTAGAACTCTACTCAATGCTCAAGTCAGGATTGCACTGGAAACACAAGCACTGGAAATACGACCCTAATGGCAGGGACTTGAGTATGATTTCGAGTGCTTTAAACCATACTCAAATCCTGACTTGAGCATTGAGTAGAGTTCTGGAATACGACCCTTTGACTTCTAAGTGTTGTGTGGCCTACATTGATTTCTCTCGTGAGTTTGGGTACACTCAAACTAATAAATAAATGTAGGCCCACATAGACAACCCATGGGCACTATATGTGTGTCCATGGCACTCGAGACCCAGGGTCTGTGTTGAGCTTTTAAGTCGCAAAGATCTTAAGGGCGCTGCCACTGCGCCTGTCGCCCTGATGTGCCTGTTATATCACCAGCCCTACGAAACCGGAACGCAGTAATGCTCACATTAATGCTTGGCGGCAGAAATAGGTCAGGTGGCAGTACGTCTCTCACTCTCGAACTCTACTAATTTTGGCTATGCTAATAACGCAATGTAATCATGTGATATAACACATTATTTTTGTGATAAATTGTAATGTAATAATTAAAATAGTGTTATTAATTAAGTTAGCCCTCTTAACGTTGTTGTGCTCTTGTAGGGGTCACATGTGTACCACCAATTAATGTTCCATCTTAAATTTATAATGTGATATGCAATAAACAATTGAAATTGAAATTTCAGCCCGTCTAAAACGCCGCATCCTTACAACCAAAGAAATCGAACAATTGCGCGATTACACGCCATCGTTGAAGAAGGGTTCTCCACAACTGTTTCGCAATCTCAGGGACAAGGGTAAGGGTCACTTCTTCGGTCGTGATCACACTCGCTATGCATTAGATAGAACGTTTAAAGTCTTCCCACAAGTACATGGAATTATTAAACTTAACCATTAAAACAAAGAAACAAAAAAACAAAGATATAACGTAAAATACACACACCGGCACATTTAGCGGAGGTCTAGTAAAATCTCCAAAATAATATCGTGTTTTTCAAGTCTGATCGGTTATTTTACTTTTTGATTTTAGGTTTATTTTGATATAAAAAAATTAGTCTGTCATTTTTTTTCTTTCTTGTTTTAATTTTACGGCATGGTCGAGTGGTTCTAGGTAGAGTTTTGCATTCTTGTAAATTTCGTAATATTGAAAAGTTTTTTTCATTATTAAAAGACTTGTACCGAATTAGTACAGAGCTTGGTACTTTATTCCCAGAAAAAAATAACCAGTCTCAACTTTTATGCTAGATATAGGCTTGAAATAAAAATCAGAATAGCAAAAAAAATTGTGACCTCCTTTTTTTTATTGTTTAAAACAAAAGTGTGGTAAACATGTTTAAATAATTACCAGCAATACTCCGATACTAAGAAATGTCCAAAAAGCTAAACACTTAAACGCTAAAGTATTCAAAAACGTAATTACTTTTGTTTATTTAGATTGCTACAAGAATAACATTGACATCTGATCTGTCAATATTTTTTATGGCTTTAACCACTAGCCCATTAGACAATTTTTTTATTTAGTCATTGTCAAAACTTCACAATGTTTAAATTTTCACAAAATATTCACGTTCGTTTCTGCTTTGTCATAAAATTAAAAAAAAATATATAAATTACAATTTTTCAAATTATTAAGTAATGTAAATATAATGTTAAAATTTATTAATTTAATTGTTACTTTACGTCTAATTCTTATTTAAATATCAATGTCACTATTTTATATTCTCACTTTTTTATTCCGTTTAACGTGTCGGTGGGTGTACATGTACATAATTTTTCTTCTAAATAACGAAGCACCTAAGTGATCTTTTCGACAAACAGCTTATACCTAACTAATGAACAAAACAACAACTCATTTGTGCTGCAACAAGCCAAAAAGGCCTCTTTTCGCCTAACTTTATATCTAATTCTTTTCAGGCATAATTTCGTACACCGAATACCTGTTCCTTCTCTCCATATTAACGAGTAAGTCAATTATACTATATACATTGTACTTGACAGTCGTCTTAGAAAAGTCGCCAAGTCATTTAAGACGCAATATATACGCTTCTATTACATTCTTCTACTATTTCTTTTCTTCTACGTTGAAACACCAAATACAAAGAAACGACAACAAGCACATAGAAAAATTCGTGAGGTCCGCTTGTTTGTTCTGTGGCTTAGTTGATATAGCGTCTGCCACGGTATGCTAGAAGACGTCGGTTCGAATCCGGCCGGATCAAAGGAGTTTTCTTGGTGTTCGATCTTTGTATTAATAATTATAACAAACTAGTGGAGTAATTTCACAAAAAAAATAATTGAATATCAATTTCATAAAAATTAAAAATACAGTGAATAGCTACATCTTTCGCCAGGGCCGGTAGCTGTAAAGGTACTGGGTGATAAAGCTTTCTTCTACTGTATTCTGTTATTTAATACTGCCGATATTAATAGAGTCTTTGTTCTACAGAAATGTGCGGTTAGTGCGGCAGAATCTTTAAAAGTTAATTTTAGAGAAATTAATCATTATATAAAATATAGAAAGATTTGTCATGACTTGCATCACAGTACACTTAGTCAAATATTTTGTATGCCCGTAAAAATATACATAATTTCACTAAGAAAGAAGATATCCATAATATTTAACCTTAGAGCTAAGTCCAAACTCACGGTACCACGATTTCGTTTAAGTAAGGTAAACGATTCTTTTATGGGGAACTGTATACGTTTTTACATGTATATATAAAGATGTCAATGATTTTCAGGTACGTTTTTTGTACTCAATTTTGGTGACAATATCTTTTTATTGAAATATTTATAGGATATCATCATGAAGTATTATTTAATATTCGAGTTCGGTAACCTGAAATATTATTTAATATTTCACGATGATATATTCGAGTAATTAAATAATAAAAATTGTCACCAAAATTGAGTACAAAAAACTTACCTGAAAATCACTGATGTGTGGAAAGACAAAATGAGTCTAGATTCCACATAATTACGATTCAAAGTGTATTCCATAGCTTTGAAGTTTATTTGAAAAGATGAATCCCTAGACTTTCTTGCTCGTTTTTCTCAGAGAGGTCAGCGTAGTGAAAATGACTGTTTTAAAGTGTAAAAGTTTTACCTATGGGATCATTGACTTACAATTATATGGACGTCGGGTCCGCGCTAAAAAGTGTCCGCACTTGTAAGGCGCTAAAATCGTATACAGAGCGCCAAACTCCGCTTTAGTCTTCATTTGTTCGACTGACAGCGCGATACTGCGATGACATTACAATTTAAATTTCGAATAGGTTGACTTGGGACATTTTTTTCGTGGTTTTTGTATTAGACCCGACGGACGTCCATTTATTTGTAAGTCAATGTATGGGATAATTGATTATTTAACTTGACTTGTAGCGACACACACGTGTAGGTGTACACTGTGATTAGCCATATTGGTTACATTTAACTATGAATTTGAACATTTCAGAACCCGCGTCCGGCTTTCGAATAGCCTTCAACATGTTCGACACAGACGGCAACCAAAGAGTGGATAAAAACGAATTTCTAGTCGTGAGTATGGAGCTATTTATACAATCTAAATTAAAACCAATTATTATTACCCAACTTGAACTTAATTTTAAGTCTTATTAGTACAGGTGGTTATACGAATAACGCTTTACACTAGCATCCTGGATGACAACGCACAAGGTGTAATAGGTTTCTAGCACCCGCACAGTGCACCCTTAGATGTCTCGTCCTCCCTTACGCAACAAACACGTAACCATAACCGTAAAGCTCTTGAAATTATGCCTTTTATTACTTATATATATATACTTATATTTATTTCCTTCCATTTTGGTTTCATTTCTTTTCTGAGCATGTTTTCTGCGATGTGGGTATAGATTCAGCGCCTGCTGGGCGGGTCGCTGAAGGAGCGCACAGATTTGGATGCCAAGAGCAAGGAGGCCGTGAGTTTTTCTGGGTGTTTTGATTGGAAAATGCCTCCGCATTTTCAATTATACAACCTCAAGTTTTGACTCGACAAAAACTCATACATATCTCACCACGATACAATATATGCTGTATCTGTAATTTTTGTCGCAATTTAGTAATTCGCACGTACCCAGCTGTGTTGAAATTGGCTGTTCTTGACAGTTGATAAATTCATTAAAAGCAATGTGTTAAAGTATTTTTCGAAATGCCCTATGGTCATTTAAAATATGCAGAGCTAAATATGAATTTCTACCGTCGATGTAAAGGTAATAATTTTTGGAAAATGGAACATCTTCGATATCGATATTATGACCATTTTAGTGTACAGTTAGAGGCACAAAGGACTTGTGAACTTATGTCTCAGGGTGACGGGCGCAGTGGCAGGGCCCCTCAGATCTTTTCGAATTAAGACTTTGAATGGCACTGCAACTGTTATGGACAGGCGTGTAGCTTACCATCAGGCGCACAACTAGCTTGTCCCGTCACTTGAATATAAAAAAAAGAAAAATGGGGCCTAGGAGATTTGAGGATAGGATTAAGTTTTTTTTTTTTCAATTGCTTTTTTTATCAAATTAGTATATATACAAGCAACATAATATTATTATAATTATTAATACAAAGATCGAACACTCAGAAAAAATTCCTTCGATCCGGTCGGATTCGAACCGACGTCTTCTTGCATACCGTGCCAGACGCTATACCAACTAAGCCACGGAACGAACCAGCGGACCTCACGAATTTTTCTATGTGCTTGCGTCGTGTCTTTGTGCTTGGTCTTTCAACGACTTTTTAGTCGTAGCGCCATCTATGAGAAATCTTTAACAGATTTATCACCCAGTTAATACCTTTATAGCTACCAGTCCTGGCGAGAGATGTCGCTATTCACTGTATTAAATAAATTTTTATTGAATTTATATTCAATTATTTTTTGTGAAATTACTAAATAATATAAAATAGCGGTATAGCGTCTGGCACGGTATGCAAGAAGACGTCGGTTCGAATCCGACCGGATCGAAGGAATTTTTTCTGAGTGTTTTTTCTGAGTGTTCGATCTTTGTATTAATAATTATAACAAACTAGTGGAGTAATTTCACAAAAAAATAATTGAATATCAATTCAATAAAAATTTAATTAACATAATATTATCTTAATTAAAAATAACGTTGTATAATTTCAAATTCGCCTCCTGTCTAGCTCACAGAGATAGATGCTTTCAAATACTAGATTACTATCATTATTACCTCGCCCTTATAATAAACTGTGCAAGGAAATAGTTCTGCTAGTAAAGTTAATTCATTCACACAAAGACAGCGGTAAATAATAAATTATTAGCAAAAAAACATTTAGGAACCTTTTTGAGAGCCTGGGGCCCTGATTTTAATTCAAATCGGAATGATCGGGTGGCCCATCCGCAATATTATGCGCCTCGACTCGGAAAAGGCGGAGTTTCCGATCGCTAGATGCAATCAAAATCAAGCTGCTGGTGTTCGTACTAGGATTCCCTGTATGACGAATCACCCGACCATCACTTCTACAGTTGGACTTAAAAAGTAAATTAAGAAACAAAACAAAATGGTATGTGTAAACAAACAAAAAATGTAACTTCTTACATACAATAAATATGTACGGATACTTAATTATTTACAATTGAAATCCAATGTCGCAGTATGGACGAGTCGCAACTACGAGCTATAGCAGCTATGATACTATTAGTACTATCTAGCACTCTTTGTCTAAGAGAAGAAACCCTCTTTCTATGCACAGCAGCGAAACCCTGTGTCGCGGGTGCCATGGACACACACATAGACAACCACAAATTAATAATTAAATGTAGGCCAATTTCTCGAACCTGGGACCTGTGCGTGGCAGTCGGTAACCGATCGGCCACAGAGGCAGTCATTTATATGGTTCTGTTTTCTGATTTTATCAATTTTAATTAAAAGCGTGTGCATTCTTTTATTTGCAATTAATTGTACAAATATGAACTTACGTAAATATTAGAAAAAGCATCATTCCTAAATTTCAAAATATTGTAAAGTAACCTCCTCTCCTTCTATAATTTGCAGTGCCCTATACAGGGTCCACAATGCGCTGTTATATTGGGTATAATCATTTTCCATCCAATACAACATTAGGGGAACCTACGACCACGCAGGACTGTAGCATCGTTGTACAACGTTCAAGTCCTGTATGGTCGAAGGAATTTTTGACGTGAGACGCCCTGTGTTGTTTCTATTATACCATGTTCTAAGAGTCTATACTACCACAGCTCGAATTAAATTTTTTTCCCTTGTTAATACGGTTCATTTTGCTTATGGACACTGGTTTTATTTCAGAATTTAGTTTTTTACAAACGGAATTAAAACCGTTTGAAAAATGTATATCGTAAGGTATACGTGTCCTATTTAGGTCAGTTGATATTAGAAAATCATTGGTATATGTAAAGTACGTATTGAATAAGTTTGTGTTTTTTTCTATGTGAAAATTACTCAACACTTTCACTTTTATGCGGTATCATCCGCATAAGCGGTTTGAGGTAATATAAGCGGTTTGAGGTAATATAACCTCTAAACAAGGTAATTAAGCGTATTACGTAGGTAATCTAGGTAATTAAGCGGTTTGAGGTAATATAACCTCTAAACAAATTAACAAATTATTATTATTGCACAGTTGCGGCAAGAATGTCAGGTACGGCAATTAGTGAGAAGTGAGATAACATGCAACTTTCAATATCTTCACACGCATTACATACACACGAACATCTATATTTTTTTTAAATTGTCGACTCCAACTTGTAGGTTTTATTTGGAATGGGAGGTTGTGCCGCTTCGTAAATATAAAATTTCTATGTTTGTGTTGTTGATATTTGTTTTAGTTGGAGAATGGGTTAGAAGTATATATTTTTAATATTACCCTGGACTATACATGTATACATGTACACTGAACACACAGTGTACATGTATACGACAACATTAATTTGGCGAAACATCGCAATACGTTTAACTTAACCTTTAGCTAACTAAAGGTAGAACTAGACATGTGCGCAGGTTGAAAAGTCGTCGTCTGCGTGATGACGCGAAATCGGCGTGACACAAATTATATTGAAAACCTAGAAACAAATATCGCGTTACATGGTATAATCTATGATCCTTTAAAACAATGGCACCTTTTGATGAAATGAAATCGCGTATATGGGCTTCGGAAGCAATTAGGGGGGGCGTTGATGCTGCCCAGGGGGTGGTACCGCATTTGGAAAGAAAAACCTGAATTATCTATCTTAAACTACACTACAAATATAGATAGATAGATATACACTTTATTGTTCACAAACAAGAACAGTACATAAACAACTTAAAACTAATGTGGGTAAAGGCGATTTTATCGCTAAGACAGTCAGACATCCTTTGAGGTAGAGGAAAGCCAATCGGAGCGGGAGACGTAGTGTGCCAATTTACAATAAAAAATATCAGCCCAAGTCAAAAAGTTTGGGGACCTATGCTCTAGATGCTGTTATCTGTTAAAATAATATAAATATTCGCCACGCCGATTTCACGCCGGTCAGATTCACAGGCGACGATGGCACATGTCAAGGTAGAACAGGGTCGCATCCTGAGATGGGACACGTTTGGATATCTAAGGTTATCCTTCAACAAAAGTAGCTAGCAGCATTCTAGTCACGGGAGATTGAAATTCCTTAGGGACTTGTGACCTGACCATGTTTCGCTGAAACTGTGTGTACAGATTGTTTCTTCGTCACTAATGTTTCAGATGTTTCAAACGAGCGGCACATTTTTCCTTTGTTTCTATTACAATTGTCTATCTATTTATCTAAGTTTTTATTTTATTTGTTTCTTATTTTTATTAATTTAATCAGGTTAATCGAATACTTATTTGGCTTTATTATAATACTATTTTGGTCGTACAAAATATTCGGGTTGAACAAAAAGTCCGTGCGGTATTAAAGTGTAAAATTAAAAAATATATTATGTATTGCCCTTGTTGATCTACAGTCTTCCACTGGCCCAAGCCTAGTGGCCGCCATTAAGGCAATAATAATAATCTAGTAAGTAATAATGGAGTAATTTCACATAAAAATAATTGAATATCAATTCATTAAAAATTTAAATGCAATGGTTATTTTCAAAAAGTCCTAAAACTAATAATTAATGGGCATGGAAATTAGTATTCGTGCGCATTCGGAAATCCGATGATTGCCGAGAAACATTTAGAAAATAGAAGCTTTGCACAATCTTTTGCCATCTTCCGGATAATTTTAGAAACAAACAAAAAGTGGTTGGCATTATCGTTATGAAATACGATATCGATTAGAAACTTAAAAATTCAAATATAATTGTAAAGCACCACAGATAATATAACATTTAAAAGAAAAAGGTTTATTTAAAGTTAAACCGCACGGAGTTATTGCTCAACTTGTTATTTACATGGGTATTATGGGTATAAACATTCACTGATGGTGGCGTTGTAGCTGGTTGCCTTAGACTACACGAGTGCACTGAAGAACCGGATGGAGAAAACTGAAACCACAGTATCTAAATTATCAACAGTAAGTCTCGATTCGGCACAAAATTTTTGGGCTTCCGTCAAACCGATCCCTTTATTTCCATAGTCTGTCTATTAATTTTTTAAATGTTCACAATAAAGGATTTTATAATTGTTCACTTTGTCTATCGTAATCGATTTTATGACGTGTTATTTGTGAGTAAATTTGCATGTGGCAGTTTGTACGTAAAGGGCAATAAAATGTAAAAGAACTGTAATGGGAAAATATACCATAACGAGCTTTCGTGCACGTATCATCATCTCATCTCCATGTAACGATATTTTTGATGTATACAATTCACAGCCCTTAGAAACCGTATAAAGTTCCCTACTACGACCTAAACCCTCGCTTGGGAGGAGACCCTTACCCAGCAGATGATGGGTTGATGAAATGGTTGATGATAATAATGATAAAATGAAAAAAACAATAGAGGTCTCCTCAACTCTTGTCAGTGAAATCTGCCTTCGAAAATTACCGTTCAAATTCAGAGTAACAAACGCGTGTCGTTAAATCATCGATGGATCTATAACACTTTTATTACAAAATTGATATGAAAGAAACGTTGTAATAATTGTTTTTTATTAATCTGTCGTTCTAATGTCGACATTTTTCTATTAAGAGAGTGATATCCTGTATGAGCATTCGATGCAGATTTAGAAAGCTCTCCACCTAGTTTTTGCAAATCCATTCATAAATTAACAAACTAAATTCAAAATGGATTTTATTGACGCTTGTGGTAAATGTTGCGACTAACAGTATAATATTTTTTTTCGTTTTTGGTGTTTTATTTTGTTTATTGTATTGTTTACATTAACCATAATATATTTTATTATTTGTATATATTAACTGCAAGAATGTACATCGTTGCACTGTTGTGCTGTAGTTAATAGGATAGAGTGCGAAATTGTTAGGTTTTTGTTTTGTGTGTTTCAGGTTCATTTGTTATCTTGGTAGGTATATAGACGTAGCATAATACGCCTCTTCTTATCATAAACAACGCATTTACATTTTGGTAACTGGTAACTTTCCGAGTTATTGGCACCAGTAATGGGCAGTGGGTTAAGGCCACATCAACCCACCCGGGTTTTTACCCAAAGCTTATCCGTTACAAATTTCGGTGTAAAAAATCTTTATAGACGAAAAAGAGGTAACTGCACAATACCCACCTTGCCTGTGGATTATCAGTAATATCGATTTAATACGATCGAGCGAATTTTTTTGTATCGATTATTCCAATACGATTTTCAAGCGAATCGAATCGTTTAGATCAGAAAGTAATAAACATTTTGTAATAATATTGTTTAAATCGAAAACCACCGTGAGACTCAGAAATTTTAGTAGCAGTAGAGGTCCTTGTGGAAGTACTGCCACCTTACCTATTTCTGCCGCCACGCAGTAATGTCAGCATTACTGTTTTCCGGTTTTGAAGGGTAAGGGTGCTGGTGAAATCACAGGCACATGATACTTGTCACCTTATGTCTCAGGGTGACGGGCGCAGTGGCAGTGCCCCTCAGATCTTTGCGATTTAAAGCTCTGAGTGGCACTTCAACTGTTATAGACAGGCGTGTAGCTTACCACCAGGCGCACGACTTGTTCGTTTCGTAACTTGATATTATAAAAAAAAACATTAACTAAAATAACGGACTACTCACGTATAAGTCGAATTTTTGCTCGACATCTTTCGAACCAATCCGTGGTCCTTCCGTTTCCGTCGAGTTATTGCCTCGGAATCTCATGATTAAGGACCACGAATTGGTTCGAAACATGTCGAATGTTTTGGACATTGTAGTCAAGCGAAGAAATCAAATAGAAATCATATTATACTCATGTAATCTGATTCTTGTACAGTTTATTGTCGCCACGCCTAAGGTTCAATCATAATGTAAATTACATATGCGAC